AGTAGCTTAGAAAAAGAGGCATATTCTTAACGCCCCTGACTAGCCAAAGACAAAAAAAAGAAGAGAAAAACTCCTAAAACATTTTCACTTATTGGTCACTATACTGGTCATTGATCACTTCACCTCACTAGTCTCCGGGTGGAGAAGTGGGGCTTGAGGATTAGGGGAAATCGATCCAAAAAAGGGGTCGAGCGGAGGAAGAAGGATCAACTTGAGCTACCGAGGATTTAGGATGCAACTCAATATTCTCCTCTCCAGCATGCTCATCCAGGAGGCCCAGAAACGTCTTCCATTCTGAAAAATCTTAGAGAGAGAAGACGAAACCATGGCCTGTCAGGCTGTCTCTATCACCTGTTTCACCTTCTCGATCTCTTCCACCAAGTTAGGGATCCCTTGCACATTCTTCTAATGCTGATAACATGAATTCTAGGAAGACAACATTCTGAGCAAACTCGGACTACATCTTCAATCTATCGAGATACTGGATTGTTTTATCTCTTTCACCATGTAACCTCTCTTCCTCAACCTTAAATGATTCGATAGAATCTTTCCAAGACCTGAGAGCCTGATCAAGGTGTTTCCTCTGCATCTTAGCCCGATTAAGTTCATCAATAAGCTTAGTGTGCTCATCGATAAGTTGACTCGAACTCGCCTCCGTCTGGACAAGAGAGGCCTCGAGACACCTCACTCTTTCAACATACATGACAAATAGAGGTGTTCACGAAAAATCGAAAAAATCGAAGCAAACCAAAAATCAAATCAAACCAACAAAAATTTCAAGATAAAAAATTCAGAAACATAGAGCTTTTCTTTTTCCATTCATTTTCACGAAATTAAGTTAGAATTTTGTCAATTATTTGTATTCATCTACGTGAACCAACTGATGAGTCGTCTATTATTCGTGTGTAACTAAATGGCAGTAAAATAGAGTACTTTTTTTCGCATAAAATATGAAATGGATAACCATGAAAGGTATTTGAAGTATATGATATGACCCTCCTTTGGTACTTGTGCCTAAATTATCTAAATATTTTCATTTTCTTTTCAATTAAAATATTGCTAATTTATTTTATGACATAAAAGGAATATTTCCACTAAAAAATCATTTTTCCTTTTCGTCACTAAAAATCTATATTTGCCCAGAAGAGTTTGTGGTCATTTTCATACAAAACTAAAAGAAGAAATTTCTCTTAACTACTTATACTAGGTCGACGGTGCTAAAACTTAGAAAGGATATCATGCTGGGACAAGCAACTAAAATAATTCTTGTTTGAATACAATCTTCGTACGACAAACTAGTTATGCAAGAAATATATTAAGTTAATTGTTATATATTAATAATACAAAGATTGTTATGCAGTAATTATTTATTTTAAGAACCTTTTGGTCTTAAATAATACTCCTATTTTTCAAGTATTATTAACAGACTAACTTTATACCATATTATATCTCGTGTCAAATATATATATAAATCCGGCACGAGTAATAACATTTATACTATTAATTTAATTGTTGTAAAACTAATAAAATGTTTATTTTTTTGGTAGAAATACGAACTTTTCATTCATTAACTAATTCTATTACATAAAGCAAGAGGCCCATTGGGCTCATCCGTAGGTATTGCCACCGTATTGTTTACATTAGGATTGTAAGTTACAAAAAGTTCCCAAGTTCAACTAACTTAGCAAATACAGTAGTAGATACAAGCCGAGATTTAGTAGAGCCAATCTTATCATCATGGACTATTTTTAAAAGTGCATTCGATGGTTGTTCCAAAAGAGAAAGAGGACTATTGATTGCTTGGTTGGATCCTTGGGTGGCCAAAAAGTGAACAATTTTATTTCCCTCCTTGAAGTTATGTCGGATCGGCAAATTCTCTAGTTTTTTCAGTAAAGACCTGCACTCAGTAACCAAATTAGAATATATTGAACAAATATCTTCATCAAGTAGGCGAATTATGTCTGTAGCATCTGGTTCAATTTCTAAATTCAACAGGTTTCTTTCGCAGGCTAGTTGTAGCCTAGTCTTGAGAGCTAGAAGCTCCATATAAGCAGGGGTATAAGCAATAATTGAGTTGTAATAACTCAAAATTCAGACTCCATGATTATCTCTAAATATTCTGCCAATGCCTCCTTTCTTATATTTACCTTTGAAGGCACCATTAATGCTGAGTTTAAGAGAAAAATTTCTTGGCGGAAGCCATTTTATAGAGATAGTTATATTCGGGGGGTGTAGCTAGGGGAGTTTGTGCAGTATTTAAATTCTTTGTAGCGCATGATAACCATATTAAGTGATAGTTGGTTGCATCAATTATTAAAAAAGTTATTATTTCTATTGAACCACAGGTGCCAAATAGCGAATGGAAAGAATTCTTCCCATTAGATGCCCCAATGATCCAAAGCTATGTTAGAGTCTTTAAATATAGTGAGCCAATGCTCAGAGTTTCGGTGGAGGGGAAGAAGTTTAAGTGCGCATCGCTCCAAAATTTTATGTCTATGGGGCATTCGAAGAAAATATAGGTGATTGTCTCCTCTGCCCTTTTGCATATAGAGCAAGTAATGTCAATGTTAAGACCGATTTGATGGAGATAATTTTTGGTCGAAAGCCGGTTATGGGAATATTGCCAAAGAAGATATTTTATCTTGTGAAGAGTGTTGTACTTCCAGATCTAATGGAACTTATAGGTATTAGCAGGTGGTGCAAAGAGTAGCTTATAAGTAGAGTTCGTGGAAAAGATACCATTTGAGGTGAGAGCCCAAGTAGGAATGTCTCTAGTGTTATTAATAGTGGTAAGATTAATAGAGAGGATTTTGTTCCTTATTTCAGTAGGTAGAATAAAAGATAGTTTGGAGAGGCCCCAATTGTTAGTAGTCCAAAGATCCTTGACTTTGAGGATTAGATCAGCTTGGTTCATTGGCCCTTGAATGAGGGTATTCAAGGGTGGGATACCCGGAATCTATGCGGAGAACCAACAACTAATGTTTGCTGGCCCAATTATCCATTGAAGACCCTGGTTACAGATTTTTCAACCTGTTAGAATGTTATTCCAAATGAAAAAGTGGGAGTTAGGGTTTCTCTTGTGGCTGTATTTATTAATAAGTGTTATGGCCCATATAGAACTAGAATTGGTGAAGAATCTCCAAGAGAAACCTGCTAGAGAGACTAAGTTTTTTTCAGTAGCTTTTCTGATTCCAAGCCCCCCTCCTCGCATACTTTGGCTGAGTGATGGTGGACCATTTTATATAGTGAAATTTGTTTTCTAGAGTGGTAGAGCCCCAGATAAAATCTCTTTATATTTTATCAGTTTGCTTGAGTGTGGAGGAGGGGAGCAGGAGATATTGCATTGCATGGTTTGGGATGCCATTGAGAGTTGATCTGGTAAGTGTTGTTCTTCCTGCAATCAAACGAAAATTTGATTTCCAACTGGCAAGCTTAGTGTTCATGTTGTCAATGATGTAGCGTACATAGGAGGCCTTAGGCTTACAAGTGAGAATAGAGAATCCCAAATATTTACCAAAATTTTCACATATTCTAATGTTAAGAATATTGGCAAGGTGAGTTTTGGTTTGAGTATCACAGTTTCGCGAGAAGATGATTTTTGATTTAGTGTTATTGATTTTTCGCCCAGAGAGTTGAGAGAAGAAGTGAAAGCTACGCTTAATTGTGTGGATTGACTTTAAGTTGGCATTGGCTGAGAGAGTTAAGTCATCCGCATAGAATAGATGTGAGAGAGATGTGCCAGTGGGATTGAGTTTTATTAGGTCCCAGAGTCCAATGTTAACTTAATGATTTATATATTTGGACAATAATTTCATGCATAGTATAAAAAGATACAGAGGCATTGGGTCGCCTTGTCGTATACCTCTTGATGGATAGAAAAAATCAATTTGGAACCATTGACTACGATAGCAATTCTAGATGTACTGATGCAGCTCATAATAAGCTTTGTGATACGCAGGGGAAAATTAAAGAAGAGTAAGGCGCGGTAAATGAAGGACCATTCAAGTCTATCGAAAGTTTTTTCAAGGTCAACTTGTAGAAGGATCTTCCCCTGGTGACCTTTAATTTTTTGGAAATGGTGAATCATTTCTTGAATAATAATGGCGTTATCACTAGTTCTTCTTCCTTTGAGGAAGCTAGTTTGGTAAAGGTCAATTAGTTTGTCAATGTAGGGCTTGATTCTGTTCACAATAATTTTCGTAATAACCTTATAAATAGTGTTGCAGAGTCCTATTGGACGAAAATTATTAAGGTTATTCACGTTGTGAAATTTTGGGATGAGGCAAAAAATTATTTAGTTTTTAATATAAAGCTTTTGATAAATAATGTAATGTTTCATTTTCTAGAGTTTTATATCACCGTACATAAGTTTTACAACGATTAAAATTAATAATGTAAATTTCACGTTGCAACTAAATGTAATCTTAAATTTTATCATTGAGATTAAATTATGTTGTACAAGTACAAGCCCACCAAACTAGTCTTTCTTGTTTTGGAGCTTATTCCTTAAAGAAAAGATATTTCACCTCCTTACTCAAAGAAAAAGCATAAAGTTAAAAACAAGCATAACACAAGATCTTTTTTAAGTACCACTAAAGGATGTGGTACAGTGAATGAGACTGTTCCTTTCTTAACTAGATGTCTTGAGTTCGAATCCTGGATATGGAAAATTCTTGTTAGGGAGTGCTTTCCCCAAATGAGGCTCTATTCGGTGCGAATTTGAATATAGTCGAGCTCCAATACAAATACCGACACCGAATGAAAAATCAAAAAGAAAAAAATCTTTTGTAGGTCATTGTTAATAATTGTTGAGGCTTAAGGACAAAGTTTGCATCTTTGGGGTCATGATAACAATCACATGACCAATTTGAAAGATGAAAAAAGAGTAAGGGGTGTTACATCATTGGACCACAACAAGACATAATTGACTCTACCCCACTCCCTAAGGAGTAAGGTCCCCTTTCTCTAATCTCATACCCCACTCCCTTTATTCCCATGTCCCAATGCTTCCTTAACCAACAACACTCCATTCTTAAACCTTAATCCCTTCATTACCTTTGACTAAACTCCCCTGTCTCTCTTCATCTCCTAAACTACAATGTGAAGCAATGAAAATACTAGAGGTAATGTGATGAATCTCATTTATTTGTCTTGTACGTTAGTACTACTACTATATGCTATTGTCTCTCATTTTCTTCGTTCCCTCTGTTTCTTCATCTGCTAAACTACAACGTCAACATTGAGAAATCTCCATTTAAGTAATCAAAGTAGTATGTAATCTAATGAACATCATTAATTTGTCTTGTAGATAAGTACTGGTTCTATATTATTACTATCACTTTGTCTCTTGATTCACTCTACTTAAATCTCACTTCACTTTATGTGTTTTGTTTGCCTTCCTCAGCTTTTTCTCTCTCTGCTCTCTACTTCCATGCGTGTCCAAACCCTAGATCTGTCCCCCTCTTAGGTAACCTCAACAACCTTTTGCTTCTATATCTCTCTCTCACACACACACATAACAGAAAAAGAACACGTTCTCTCTCTCTCTCTGACCTCTGTGTATATTTATTTTATGTTTGTGTATTAACTGCTGTTTGTGTTGATTTCTAGGTGCAGCTTTTTCAGTGACAGTGAAAAAAGTGGAAAGTGGGTAAAATTTGGTAAAATATTTTGTTGGGAGATGAGTGGCAGCACCTCTACATCAGTGGTGGGGGGAGGGGGGTATGGGTATGGTTACCGGCCACCATTCACGGCAGTGCAATGGCAGGAGCTGGAGCATCAGGCAATGATATACAAGTACCTGGTGGCAGGTCTACCTGTTCCACCGGACCTCGTTGTTCCAATTCGTCGGAGTTTTGAAGCCATCTCTGCTAGGTTCTTTCATCACCCCAGCTGTATGTTTCTTCTTTCTTCTTCATTTGTTATATATTAGTGAAGAATTGATGGTTTACTTCACTTCGATGGTTTTATTGAAGCATGTAGATCTGGAAAAGGGCTCCTTTTTTGGCATTCTTGTCTACTTTCTGTCTTGTTATGAATTTGCAATTGTTACTTTTTTGTTTGTATTTAATATGTACATACATGGTTTGGCTCTANGCCACTGTCTTTTTTTCATATGTTCGTGAAGAATTGATGGTTACTTCACTTTGATGGTTTTATTGAAGCATGCAGATCTGGAAAAAAGGCTCCTTTTTTGGCATTGTTGAATACTGTCTGTCTTGTTAGGACTGTGCAATTGTTGCCTTTTTGTTTGCATTTAATATGTACATATATGGTTTGGTTCTAGGAGAGACTTTTTCCGTCGGGTTGGCATCTAGTGAGTTATAGCTTTGTCATTTTTTGTGTCAATGTAGTAGAAACACACTTGTTTTTGCCTTTTAGGGGCTTATCCGATGTTTATTTAAGTTGTATACCATCATGAACAACGGCAGATCCAGAATTTTAACTTGATGGTTCAATCTCTTAAACTCTTAGACTGAACTCGCTATACTTTTAAAATCATGGTTCAGAAACTAATATTTGTTGATACATCCGCCACAGATCATGTATAGTTTACAGATGTGCTTACTTTCGATGCCGTGTATAAGTGCTCCGGTAGTGGGAACTTTGTGTTGTGGTATGCTCCTATTTCATTGATTTCTGATTGCCGTGTGGCTAATCGGATCTTGCTATATATTTTCTTGTGCCCTAAAAGGACTTCTTTCAGGGCAGTGGTGCGGCTATACTACATTATCTTGGAGCTTAATGGTTTGTATATTCCATGTGCAGTGGGCTATTGTTCCTATTACGGAAAGAAGTTTGACCCTGAGCCTGGAAGGTGTAGAAGGACTGATGGAAAGAAGTGGAGGTGCTCGAAAGATGCATATCCTGACTCCAAATATTGTGAGCGGCACATGCATCGAGGTCGCAACCGTTCAAGAAAGCCTGTGGAATCTCAATCTGCTTCCCAGTCCTTGTCGACTAGTATGTCGCACATTACTACTGGGAGCAGCAGTACAAGAGGAAGTTTCCAAAGTAGCAGCAGTGGAAGTTTCCAGCACATGCCATTATATTCTGTTGCTAATTCAGAAGAACTGAATTATGGAAGCAGTGCAACAAAGTTGCAGATGGAGCCTGTGTCCTATGGAATAGATACCAAGGACTATAGGTACCTCCTTTTTGTCTTCAGTAGGACTTCTTTTCCTTGGCTACACTTATCTTGGTGTTCTCGTGTTACTTCGACTACATTGTGGCCTAAATTTGTTTTTCCGTCAGTTGGCACTCTAACTGAATCTGTCATCTTAATTACTCCAACATGTTGCTTCAAGCCTTGATCTTGGGCTGTGTATCATGTGGTTTAACACTCTACTTGTTCCAATGAGTGATTCTATGTTTTGTCTTTTTTTTTTTGGCTGATAAAGATAGAAGTCTATTAGAAACAGCCTCTCTACCTCCGCAAGGTAGGAGTAAGGTCACACATTACCCTTCCCAGACCGACCAACCCCACATTGCTGACCCCACACTGAGAAATATATTGGGTATGTTGTTATTTGGCTGATAAAATATAGAAATGTTCTACTCAAATCTTTACATCTGGAGGATGCTATGTAGGGACTTGGGAGACTGTTATCATGGCATCAACGTTTTTTTGCCCATTTTTTGTCTACTTATGATCCATTTTTGTCGCCTGTAAGCCTTCACTTCATCTTTCCTCTTTTGCTAATTTGAGACCTACCAGTTCGGTAGAATTTGAGGGCCTGATAAGTTATTATTGATCCACCTCTAAAAGTTGTTTCCTACTCCCTCTGGAACTGTTAAGGTCCTGACATGAATAGGTGCAAAAAGACTGATTATGTTCAGATGCAGCAAGTCATATCATAAGCAAGATGATAAATAGTGAGGGCGAACATTACAAATAGCTATTGAGACTCATGTTTTCCTTTCAAATGTAGCATTGGCCCTTCAGGTATGTCAATTTTCAGGTCAGAGTTGTGTTGTGATCCTGTATCTATGGTTGGATCCTGTGGGTATAGATATTTGAGGTGCCTGTGTGAGTGTGACGCCGCTCGAATTTCATGCAACATGATAACACTCGTGTGAATGCTGGTGTCGGTTGTAGAGTTGTGTCCTTGAATGTGCTTTTCTTGCTACTAAATTGCAATTGTTTATTTCTCTTGTAAATGAACCTGGGAGTTGCACTTATCCCAGAGAGAGTTGCATAACCTAGTCGCAGGAATATTTATCAGACAAAAAGGAAATAGAATTTTGATTTGAATAACTTTGGCAATTCTGTCTCTAATAATTGAACACCATTATAAGTAACCTTTAATATGCATTTCTCTTCCATTCTTGGAAATCTTAGGCCCATTCTGGAAGTTGCAATAATAACATACGCCCGAGATTATTGGTTGTTATCAATGAAGGTAATAGAATATATTTTCAAAGACATCAATTTTAACACGTCAAGTTTAGTTTTTTGGAAGTTGGAAAGCATATATGCTTGCCTTTAGTTGTACTTACAAGGAGGAGTAACATCAATATATGCATGCAAGACACCAAAGGCTTCTCCTATATGGACTCCTAATGTTATTGTGAGAAAGCACGAGAGAAAATATTATTGATATTATTCTCATATATTAAACATGATACAATGAGCCCTATATATATACATAACATGTCCTACTCATAATACATATGGGATTAGGGTTATTTACTACTATTTTGTATTTACATAAATATTCTAACACTCCCCCTCAAGCTGGTGCATATAAATCATATGTATCGAGCTTGTTACATATGTAGTTAATACGAGGACAGTGAGGGACTTGGTGAAAATATCTGCAAGCTGATCATTCGACTTCACAAACTTTGTAGCAATATCTCCCGAGAGTATCTTTGCTCTGACAAAGTGACAGTCAATCTCAATGTGTTTAGTTCTCTCATGGAACACTAGATTTGACGCAATATGAAGAGCAACTTGATTATCACACACAAGTCCCATCTGACTAATCTCACCAAATTTCAATTCCTTGAGCAACTGTTTGATCCAAATTAGCTCACATGTCGCCATAGCCATTGCTCGATATTCTGCTTCTGCACTAGATCGAGCAACCACATTCTGTTTCTTACTCTTCCAAGATACCAAATTTCCTCCTACTAAGACACAATATCCAGAAGTAGAACATCTATCAAAAGGTGATCCTGCCCAATCAGCATCTGAGTATCCAATGATCTGCTCATGGCCTCGATCCTCAAACAATAAACCTTTGCCTGGAGTTGATTTTATATACTGAAGAATGCGAACAACTGCATCCTAATGACTATCACAGGGAGAATCCATAAACTGACTCACAACACTCACAGGAAAGGAAATGTCAGGTCTTGTCAGTAAGGTAATTTAATTTACCAACCAACCGCCTATATCTTGTAGGATCGCTAAGAGGCTCCCCC